TTTAACCTTTTAATTAATTTTTTATTGGACATACTGCACTATGAATGTCCCCATTTATTCCCTTTGACCTATTTTTGGTCGCTTTCTGGACCTCCTTTATGAGGAGACCTGAAGTGGAGACGTTGCGGGGCTTTTATATTTGTAAAGACCCGGAGGAGGTGCTGCGGCTGCATGTCTCCCACAGGGATTGTTGAGAGGCAGACCAACAATACCCCAAGCGAGTTTACAAAGGCTATCTGGTGAGTGCGGACCTTTTCTGTTAATACACGTGGAGCACTGAGAAGCACGGAGCATTACAACTTCACATATGGACATATTGATTTTTTGAATATCACTATTTATTTCATTTTTAAAGGACATTTATTATGAAACTTTACACTTCATAGTTTGTTGTTTTATATGATTAATTTTGTTATAAGACATTCATTTATATACACATGCAACTTGTTTACATCACGGGTTTGTACCTTTGCTGAGATTGTATTTTCTTGTAGATATTTATCACTTTATTATATCCCACATTTTGAATGTTGTGGTTTCTGAGAAAACTGCATCAAAGACAAAACTTTTTAGATTTGTATCACATTTTATATAGATCACTCACTTGAGCACAGTGTAATTTGGATTTCATTGAGCTAATTTGTGTGTATCCCATACAAATTGAACACAGCAGCTGGGTGTACCGCTATCACCATAGCACAGGTCCATTTGAACATATATAAGTGCTTGTTTTGCTTAGGAGACTCAAATAAAGCTGTTTTACTTACCTGATGCTGGTTTCCACGGTGGTCAGCACTCACTTCCCCCCTCCGCTCTGGGTGAAATGTCGCTCGGCGTATTTACATCTAATGCAGGTCAATGGACCGGCATAAGACGTGGTGATGTCAGTGGTCCTTAGCCCGCCAGAGCTCAGGGAAGAAGAGGCTGCAGGGGCTGATCTGGCAGCCTGGAGGGATCCAGTAGGACCAAAGATCAGGTAAGTAAAACAGCTTTATTTGAGCCCCCTAGCAAAACAGCACTTAATCCTTGCAGTGCAGGGGTAAGTAGTATACACATTAATTTTCTTCTTTACAACAAACAATGCTTTCTTCTGGTGATATTGCTTTGAAAAATAATTTTATTTTGTATGCAATCCATAGACAAAAAAGTTAACAAACTAGTATTGTTTTAAATTAAAAAAATAGTGTTTCTATAATTTGTCCTGTTTAACATGACACTAAAACTATAATTCTGGTACAAAGACTTGCAAATGTATTTAAAATGTATTGCTAGTTTCATTATTAATGGCTATCAAAATAAAAACAAACCAAAAATCAGCATGAAAATAATAGTTTGGGGAGAAGAGGAAGATGGAGATAAATAGGGTTGATTACGGTAAACTAAGGTTAAATAGGAACAAATCCTATACTTATAGTAAAAGAAGACTAGAGAACGTAAAATGGAGTTTCAGTTTTCCCCCTTAGTTCCAGCCTGATAAAGAGATTGCATCTTCCAAACACTATTATAAAAGGTTCAATAGTTTAGGAGATAGAAATGATAAATAGTGGGGTTTTATTTTAAATAAAATGCTTACCTTGAAAATAAAAGAAAGAAATAATACATTTGTATGTTGGACTTCTAGAAATCTACTGGTGCATTGGAGAGATGGAAGGTAATTAAGGTGGTGGGTGTCTCAGTGTTTACATTTCCCTTTCCTCTCAGTCCAGAAATATGCACCTTCTCCCCCTTCCTTGGAAAACACACACAATCTTAACAGAGCCCTAGACCCAGGAGGACTGACTGGCATCTGCAGATTGCACCAGCAAGGAAGTGATGTCCCCAGATGAAGGAGAAAGTGGGCAAAGAGATCAGAAATTTCAGGCTTCACCTCTCCTTCTCTCTGCATGTCCTTGCAAAGGTGACAAGGGGGAGCAGTGGTGGAATATGCAATTGCAGAGTTACCAACTGGCAGAAAGTTTCAGTGTCTGGGATGTTGGGGTTCAGTGTCAGGGGTGCTGGGAGGCAGGGAGATTCAGATACAGCGGTGTAGGCGGTGCAATTTCATAGGCTCTAGGAGGCAGGAAGGTTTAGGGATGGGGATACAGAAGGGCTCAGAGCCAGGGTGCAAAGTGCCAGGTATACTGGGTTCTTCAGAGATCCAAATACAAAAGCTGTCTACTTGTAAGCCTGCAAGGAGAGTTCTCTGACTAAGTGCCACCCAATATGGTGCAGGATCCTGGATTTGAAGGTATAGTTAGCCTTTACACATCCTTTAGACCCATGCTTTGTGGCAATGTCCATTTTACTGGGATGATAAAACAAAGCACCCCAATAAACGAATACAGTAGGTGCCAACAAATTCACACTGCAGCGCACCACAACACACATGCTTTGCATTGTGGTGTGCTGCATTAAAATCAAAGGTGCAGGTCTGTTTTTTATATTGACATGCATTGGAAGCCTATTCTTGATAAGCTGCCTTAATCCAACATACGTTAACTTGTATACAGTAGTGCACTACAATGGAATGGCCATTAGGATTCCTAATGGCTGGCAGTATGTGCATTCATGTTCTAGAAATCTTCCAGGTCAGTGGTGTCACAAGGGGTGTGCGGCCCGCACCCGGGTGACACCATTGGAGGGGTGACACCATTGGAGGGGTGACACCAAAATGACTTACAGTCATTTTGGTGTCACCCCCCTCTGAAAAGTCGGGCGCTCGGTCATGGACCGAACGCCCGACAGTATCAGGAGAGAGGAGGTGACCCGGCGGCATACCTTATCCCGCCGGGTTACTGCCCCCTCCTCTCTCTGCCGGCGTCCATCACCAAGATGGCCGCCGGCAGGTATCAGAACACTGCCGCGCGTGCTCGATGACGTCATCGCGCACTCGGTTACCGCCCCGGGTGTCACCCAGCCTCGGGACGCCCCTGTTCCAGCTGATTAAATATCATCTGCTATATTATATGTTTGAGAGTTTAATAAGTTGAATGCTTTGACTGGTAAAGGAAGTGTCATGCAATATATTGAAACACACAGATATAATAGCCTTATGATTGATTTAACCTAACAGATAAGGATATAATTGCCTTACAAATTAGTGAATGATTTAACCTAAAAGATAAGGAAACTTTCAAACAGCATTTTCTGAAGGTTCATGAGCCCAGTTACTGACAGTGAGGATAAGAGGATCCAAGCCCAGTAAATGACAATAAGGATAAGAGGTTCTAAACTCGGTAACTAACAGAAAGGATAAGAGGCTATGAGACCAGTATCTGAGAGTAGGTATATGAGGTTCTGACCCCAGTACCTCACAGTAGGGAACAGATGATCCAAGTCCAGTGACTGACAGTAAGGATAGGAGAATCCAAGCCCAGTAAATGACAATAAGGATACGAGGTTCTGAACTCGGTAACTAACAGAAAGGATAAGAGGTTATGAGCCCAGTAACTGAGTGTAGGGATATGAGGTTCTGAGCCCAGTAACTGAGTGTAGGCATATGAGGTTCTGAGCCCAGTAACTGACAGTAGGGAATAGATGATCCAAGCCCAGTGACTGACAGTAAAGATAGGAGAATCCAAGCCCAGTAAATGACAGTAAGGATAAGAGGATCCGAGCCCAGTAAGTGACAGCAAGGCCAGCAGGCTCTGAGCCAAGAAACTGTGTGTGTCAGGTGTGGAGATTTGGGTAAATAGTGCAAAAAGAGACACTAATGACTGAAGTATATAACATAGTCCCTGCGGTATTTTAAGAGAGTTGTCATACTTTGCTCACAAAGAACTTTTAACCACATATACTTTATGTAAGCCTTTTCAAAAGTGAACAAAATTGATGCATCATGCTGCTTGTGTAGTTTATCCAAAGTGTTATGAGATCAAAGCATTTTTATGTATTTTGACACTGTAACTTATTTTTAATAACACCTGTTTAAATGCAGACTATTACAAAGAAACATGGGGAGTGGGAGCGGCAATAAAAGACAAACTGGAGCAGACAAAATCTGGAGCAGCTGTACATGGCAACCAATCTCTCTTTCATTTTCAAATCTTAACTGAAAAAAACTGAAGAATGAAGCTGATTGGTTGCCATGCAGAGCTGCTCCAGATTTTTTCTGCTCCAGTTTTGATAAATTCCCCCCACTGTTTGGAGAAAGGAGAGACATAGGAAGAACTATAAAAAAAGAGAAATTTCAAAAATTCTTTTTGAAAATGCTTGCCGTTTGTCTGTGTCTGGCTTTAATACTTCTGAGTTACAGACCTGGAACAAGCATGCAGGAAATTAAACTTGGAACCCCTTATCACTCTTTATGGTCTAGGTCACAGCCAGAACACCACATTACAGCTAGAAAGCTGGCATTTCCACAAAAAGGATATCACCGGTAGATAGGTATTTTTCTCAGTACATAATCCTTAAAATAAAATATATGACAAAAGGTTAGAGGCTGGCCACCGGTAACTTCTCATATAGAAAATACTAGTTACCCATATGGGACACTGTGTTGGTTCAATACTCGAATTACTGACCTGGGATAATAAAGACTTCTGCATTTTCTAAACTGCATAGTCCTTTCAGGTTTGTGACTTGAAGTACTCAAGAAAGCGGATCAGGATAACAGTCAGGCAACTAACATTTTCAGAAGGAAGTCAGTAGCATTAGCACATTGTATTTGGGATGGTTATTCAGTGTGAAAATGATCACTTCTGCAAATGAACATCATACATGTCATATCATGTACAATGGTTGAAGCCAACACATGGGGCTGGTTGCAATGTCTCGTTGGAGGCAGGAAGTCTACTATAGATAAGAAATTATCTCATTTACAATCTGATCTGAAATACATCACATTTTGGTAAGCTTCTGCAATCTTCAAATGATATAAGTTATCAGGCAATTAACATTTTCAGAAGGAAGTCAGTAGCATTAGCACCTGTATTTGGCATAGTTATTTCCACTTATAAAGTCATCTGTAGTGATATCCATTTGCATACAGACTGTTATAATGTGACTTAGTAATGTCCTACCTGTCCAAATTCAGTTTCTGTGCTAGCACCCTCCAGTCGGCTCCATGGGAAGATGGCTCATCTAAACTGGTGATTATCTTCTGTCTCATTAAAAATGGAATCTTAAAGGCGCTGGGACCCACCAAAGCTGCTGCTTCCTTTCCTCCTTCATCAAGCAGTATCTCTGGCGGGCGGTTTTCCTGGACCAAAAGCATTATAAGTTAGGACCTCTAAGTGACAAGGTGCATATTAATTTGAATGTAAAATACACGAGGGCAAAGAGTAATGCCCTAAGACCAGTAACCCATGCTCACCCATCAGAATCAGCAAAATTTAGCTGGTTGCTATGGGCTACTAAACTTTAACTATCATTACTGCTTTACAGCATAAGCAAATTCTGGCTGGATAATTTGGGTTACTGAACGTTGACTATCAGGGCCATGTCGCGTGAACAACCCTGAAGGGATCCAATTGAAACAAAAGAGCAATCATCTTCTTATATGACATCGCTCCCTCAGTCCAATTGATCACAATGTCTGCAGTGTTTAATCCAGTGAGGGAGTGATGACATAGGAGCAAGTGAGGATCGAAAATGTAACTTGGCCCTTCCAGAAGCTTGCATGGTTTATCACTATTTGTGCCAGCACACATTCTTTCTTACCCCACTCTACTTCAGCCAAATTGATTCCTCCCTTGTCTCTTTGCAAGCCTGCTAAACTTGTAACCAAAAGCTGCACAACAATTTTCAATATTGAGTCATTTGACATGCTAGCACTGGCCAATGTCTCACCTTATTTAGATTAATGTTGATATTGAAACTCTGACCATCCCCTTCTACTTGCCATACCCAGACCCTGCAAGAGAGCTCACTGGTGCTTAGACTAAAGCGCTCGAGGGTGAATGTACAGTGAAGGTTCTCATGTACTCCATTCCAAATGTGATAAAATGGGATCTCCTGCAGGAAGAAAAACCAATCAGCTATTCATTCTGATATGTTACCATAAAAGTCAATGTTTTCTATAATGAAATCTTGTTCAGGATCTATATCAAACACAGGGTTTATATTTCACCGCTCAGGACATTAGAGGGGGAGCTGAACTCCCCTGACAAGGGTGGCTATGCAAGTCAACAGTGAGAGACTTACTGACAAAAAGGGTTCTTAGATGCTTGATTTTATTGGGTATGGGGAGGGTTGTTTGATTTACATGGGATTTACCTCTTTGTGTTTGATTAAATAAATAAACATTGGTGATACACTCTGGATATACTTTATCACACGTTAGTGTGGTGAGGTGCTGTTCTTTGTTACTGGAACCCCAACACAGTATTACAGTAAGAGGACCCACGCTATAGCATAGTGAATGGGCAGCCTAACACACACAATAACACATTGTGTAGTCACCCTGCCTTGTCTTGCCTTGAAGTGTCTTGTCGAATTTACTGTTGCCTGGTTGTATCCAGCTAACTCACAATTGATAGATTGTGCTGGTTTCACTTAGTTTCCCATAACCCTAAAGACTGAATGCTCCTGCCTGCTACCAGAGAGTGTCTTGGGTAATAGAGACGGGAGGAACAATATGGCCAGGTTATGAATATTTCTGTCATTCTCTGTCCTACCACTAGGCATTTTGTTGCCAGTTGTGCATGCTGGGGAAAGGTAATATGGGAAATATCTGAGGCTAACCTTGACAGAGGTCTTTTGTCATCCCCATGCCCTGTGCCTGGGAAGGGACTGTGCTAATTCCACTGTTCTGCTAGGCCTAAGTGGGGCCTACTTGTGTCCAGAAAGGACCTGAATTTGAGTTTGAAGCTTTCCCTGAGTACAAGGGGAGCTTTATTCAAATAAGAGTGCCAGGGGGAGAAGTTCTGCTGTTCTTGCACAGGTGTGTAATCCTAAAGCTTTGCAGGAAACCAGGTAACTCACTTGGGAGAATAGATATAGCTGTCTCCTTGCCAGATAAGGTACTGCTAAAATACAGAAATGCTGGTCATTGCTTAAAGGCCCTTATTCTGTAAAGCTGGGAGTGGAGTCTGTGTGGGACTGTCCTTAGTATCTGGTGAACTTAACCTTCCCTCCTTACTCTTACAATGCTGTCAATAAATTCAGTATTCAAGTATCTGGTGCCCATCAATTAGATCCCTCATTAGCAGCCAAGGACTCATCCTTGGGGTGAAATGAATGCCCCTGGATCCCTGGGGACACCTTTAATCTCCCAGGGGGTTAGAGGGGGGACACTACAATTTCATTAACACACATGGGCACATGGGGGCATCAAGAAAACCTGTACTGATAATTAAAAGAGGCTGCCATTGCTCACATTCCTTGTGAAAACACTAGTTTCCTGGCTGCCATGTTGATCCAATAATTTTAGTATTTTATCAGTTACTGAAGTATGCAAATAAGGAGTGCTGATCTCGCTCTAAATTCCATGTTTTTTTAAGGTCAGTAAGTTAAATATTTTTTTATGACAGAAACAGCCTGGAAACTAGCATTGGTGGTAATGATGAACTTCCTATTTCTCCCAGTACAACATGTTTGCAGGTGGCATACATCTAAATAGAGCATGCAGACTGAAGTGTGTTTTAGCTTTCAGCAGAGTGTTAGTGAGTAACAATAACTGCATTCTGTTTAGTCAAGGACAAATGTAAGGCTGGCGTGCATTGGTGAATATTGCACAAATATTGCACAGCCCTTTGCATGGCTATACTATAACTCTATCAATTGTACTTTGAGTTATGCATACCTGGTAGCTAGCTAAGAGCTTACTCTTCCACATGGTGCTATGCATATCATGCACAGAAAGGCGTAGATTGTGATAGCTGTCCTTGAAATGTAAGAGGCGTGGTTCATCTAACAGCTTTCCTCCATGTTGTTTCTCCAGCTGTACCACCTCCTGTGGGACACAGTAACAGTAATAAAAGGATAAAGCATAATGGACCTGATGCATTTTTGGAAATGGTCACATAACAGTTAAAGGCTTAACTTATTTGGCAGCATGAACTGCAATGGATATGAGCACAAGTGCAATTACCCAAAACAACCAATCATAATTAATTTTACTCAAATAAGAATGGAGGAACATGATTATTGATTTGTTGTTATGGGCAGCTTCATAAAAGACCACATGAAGTCACACTAATATATCATAGACTTTGTACTGACAACCTTTTTTTTCATGTGCAGACCAATAGGCACCAGAGTAAGACCTACTGCTCTCAGTTATGTAACAGACCCGGTCAGACACACCCCTCTCTGCAATACAAGTCTGATTGAGGAGGTGTTTGTTGGGGTGTGGTGGTTACTGAGCTCTGTCAGCACAGGGCCGGCATGTGAGGTTTGAAAGCATTTCACTGAGAAAAAAAGGCATTTTGTAGCAAAAAAAAGTCACAAATCATGCTGTAGTGCATGACTATAACGAGATTAAAAAAAGTGTTAAGACTTAAATTGTGCTTTAAATAAGCCCATTGACTGTATTATTCCTCTGTATGTCAAGCTTACATATCTTGCAGACAGTCAGTGACAATTTGCATATAAAACGAATGCAAATGCAACTGTATATTCATGTATGTTTGCTTGTCACGTGCGTGTGAGTCACTGACCTTACAGCTGCATCTGCCTACGATTCATCTAGAGGACAAATGCCCACCTGGGCACAGCTGGCATCCTTACACAGATGCTGAACTTTTGCTTCTCATCATTTCAAGATTGTTCAAGTGAGAGCTTTCCACAAAGGCCAACAGCCGACACCATGAAAGACAGATGTAACCGATTCTCAGTGATAAATGCCATGTTGCTATATTCAAACACAAAGAAAGGCAGCACAAAGTACACTGGAGTTGTAAGGATTCATCTCAGTGCATTCTTCTGTGGAGATTAAATTATGATGCCTTTTCACAATTATGGAGCACAGTTTGCTTTGCCTTTTTCCTTCCATTATCTGACAATGTATTGTAGAAACTGGCGTTTGTCTGGTATTTGCCAAAATCCGCTCAGTGTCATTTTTATCACATCCGTCGCAGGTGCTTCTTTAAAATGTTCTTCCTGTGCTCTCCAAACATCTAGAATCCTCTCATTATTCTTTGAAGTACACCTACGCAACTGATCTCTATCAGTGGGCCCAGCAATGAATTATTGTATTACATCATGTTTTATGTGCCCCATAATCAACCGTCTCCCATCATTACAGTCAGTGAACCACATCCAGGCTTTAATAGCTGTGTTTTATGTGTGGCTTTATCCTCTTACTCACCTTCATGGCATCTTGTGTGTCGGTGATGCAGTACACTCGCAGGCTGTACTCTAGAGATGTGCAAGAGGTGGGGGCAAAGAGCAGGAGCTTGAGGCGTTTGGTGGCTGACATGCTGAGGGACTCTCCCACCAGAGCAAAGCGCCCCAGCTGCTCTGTGAATAGGTAACAGCTACGGGACTCCAGGTGGCAGTAATAGAGGGGAGAGGCACTTCCCCCATCAACTTGCAAGACATCCTGTTAACAACAAGTCATATAAAGAGGGTCAGTAAAAAGAACGTCTCAAAAGCAACAAAGTAAATAGGTAATAAAAATAGTGTTTTTTGAATACTTGACAGTCTCATGCAGTCAGAATTGTAGATGTAATTAATCTTATGTGAATTATGAATTTATTCATTTATAGTAGTTACCACTAACAGGGGAAGGGAATTTTTGCTGCTCTGACTGTAATTAACCCCTTTCACAAATTTCACTTAAACCTCCTTTCCTTTAACCTTAAATTGTGCCTATGTGTCCTCTTCAGGGATTTACGAATAATTCCTTAAAGTACCCATCTGTAGATTAATTTGTAGATAGACAATCATGTCTCCTCTTAGGGGCCTTCTCTCCAAGGTGAAAAAAATGTTTTAATTATAAATTGTTCTTCATGAGGTTGAAATAATGTTTTGTACAGGGGTAAGAGTATCAAATTGCTCCTTCAAATAAATACAATTTTAATGCATGAGAATATTCTGTTTGCTTTGCTAGTGTCCACCTGGCATTGCATGCTAGTGCTATATGCTATGTCTGTGGTCCACTATGACCCCCAAATCTTTCTTCTATCACTGACCTCTCCTAGTAATTATCTTGCCTGCAAGTTTTTAGCACTCAAATGCATTGCATTTTTAAGTGTTGAACCCCAGCTTCCTGTAATGTTGCTACATCTATAATTTCCTTGCATAATTTTGTATCATCTGCAAATACAAAAACTGAACCCTTAATTACAACTTCAATGTCGTTAAAAAAAACAAGTTGTGTGGCCCCAAGACAAAAGCCTGAGGCAAACCATTCCATACCATAGCCCACTCAGCGTCATTAATCACTACCCTCTGAACCCATTTCTAAGACAGTTGTCTACCCATGTACATATACATTACTTGCCTTCACCACAATAGGCACAGTGCCAAATACCTTTGCAAGATCTAGATAAATTACACATACTGCCCTGCTTCTATCTAGGTTACTGCTTACTTTCTCATACACGTTAACAGCTTGGTCTGACAGGAGTGGTCCTTCCTAATTCCATGTTGATTGTTACCTTTTTCCCTAACAAAATCTTCAGTAAAGTCTCTTAGTATTCCATCGAACACCATGCAAACTATTGATGTTAGGATAACTGGTCTGTAGTTCCCTGGTACAGGCAGTCCCCGGGTTATGAACAAGATAGGGACTGTAGGTTTTTTCTTAAGTTGAATTTATATGTAAGTTGGAACAGGTACATTTTTTAGGTGTAACTCCAGCCAAAGAAACATTGTTTTAGTTTAGGATAGCATAGGGAAGGGCTACGTTTGTTTTGCTGTCTGTGTCCCTGTTCAGAACCAGCTCTCGTATCAGATTTGTTTTTCGGCATTGTTACAGGCAAACAAGTAGACAAGGAAGACAAATAAAAGTGTTCAGCACGCTGTACAGTACATACAGGGTTATGACAGGGGTAATGACAGTCAGAGCCAACTTCCTATTCAGTACCAGACCCGGAAGAAGAAGCGGGGCACTCACTAACAACTTCTTGCAGGAGGTACATTACTGTACGGTGCAGTACTACAATCCAGACCCACTACTCGACTGCGATTGTTGGCATGAGCACCATTACTATTGGAATGCTGCGTGGTGGAACGCTGCATGGTACAGTGGCTGCAGTCTCGGACCTCGGTCCGTAAGTACAGGTTGTACGTAAGCCGGGCGTTCCTAAGTCGGGGACTGCCTGTATACATCTAGACCCTTTTTTGAATATTGGGACGACATTTGATTTACTCCAATCAGCCAATACCATTCCATCGTTAGAGAGTCTTTAAAAATCAGGAAGAGTCGCTTGGCTAACACTGAGCTGAGCTCCTTGAGGACTTGCAGGTGTAAGCTGCCAGGACCTGGTGATTTGTTCATATTTAGCTTATCTAGCCTGTATCAAATCCTGTTTTCTAACAACATACAGTGTGCATCTCTTACGTTGGTGTTAGCATTATCATTCTTTCTAATAAATCATTCCTTTTTTGTTTATATACTGATGAAAAAAACACATTAGCCTTATTCATTGTCATTTGTGACTAAAGTCCCATAAGTTCCATGTTCACGGGGCCTACTTGTACTGACCTTACCTTTTCACTATTGATATATTTATATGTTATTCTTGCTTTTTGAAGCAATGTGCTTACTGTAGCAGTGTGATTTTGCTTTAGCATTTCCTACTTTTAAACACCAGCATTGAGCCACATAGGGTTAATTGTTGGATGGATCCTGTCTGCGTCCGAGCCAGGAAACATGCACCCGTACGGACCTGCACTTGGGGTGAGCGTAGGGCGGCGTACGGCCGTGTACTCCCATAGAGAAGGATGGGGGCTGCGTACTAATCACACGCAGCACCTGTCCTTCCCGGGAGCTGCCCGATACAGCCGTGCACACAGCACGGAGCTGTACATGCCGGCCTTTTCTAGTGTGAATGAGGGCTTAGTATCACCTAGTATAGCACAGAGATTGTTAAAGCTGGCTTTAAAAAACAAAAGTTTATAGTGGTACCCCCATGTTTTTCTCTTTCCTTATCTTATGTCAAAAGTAATAACAGCACAGATTGCCAGCACAGATTTGCTTTTTGCTGGTGCTTGAAAATTAGTATTACATTTGCGTTCATTTTTCTGTCCTACTTCAAAAATACATATTGAAGTTCTGTCGGTTTCGTTTTTTTAAAGTTGTAATCAGTTAGTTGCGAGCAAATAAGAAAAGCAGGGTCTGTTTTCATTTGGGTATTAATCCAGATTTCCTAGTTTTGTTTAGTGATCAGTGATCCAGCTAAAAAACGGAATGGCTGAATGAAATGGCCATCAGTTTCAGGGATAAAAGAAATTGAACAAAAGTACTGTTTTTAGTTTCAGTCCTTATAATTTCTTTTTTATGACTGTATTTAAACATATGCATATGCGCATACCTTTGTATGATTATTTATACCATATTAACACCTCATCTGATGCATTGTGTGTAAAATCCAGTCTGAGGCTGCCATTACTTACTGACTACAGCTGTGAAGTCATTTTGCGTAGAGCTTTTCAAACAGCAATTTTAAACAGCTCTAATTAGTAAATAGCACCCACTGTGCAGGCAGATCCTGGCAGCACGAAAGCACCAGTGTGTGTGTCTGCTTGGAATTTCAATCCAAAAGTATGATCAGGGTAGCAATATGATATGCACCGTCGGAAACTACCGAGGGTACTATACTAAGACTAATAGAAAACAAACACCGTACATAAAAGTAACACACAAGAAGGGGAACAGAACACAAGTGATTAGGAGTGAAAACATTGCTGCCGCCCAGCCCTGACGTCTTGACAGTTACAGTGGTTTAATGTAACCTATGGGCACTAAATGACAGCTTGTAACTACAAAAATATAAGTTGTTATAAATAGCCAGCAGCCCATGTCAGCCATCATCATACTCTATGTTAGACCTGCTGTCTAGACATCATTATCCAAAAGCAAGAGGTTGCCATTATGAATGTACATTTGCGGCATCTCTCAAATCTAGCATTCTTGTCATTCATATTCGGCTCAATCAGACTGTTCAATAAACACAATCAGCTGGGGAGCCATCCTATTCACTAAGAACATCTCTATCAACAAGAATCAGCCTCAAGGTACCCACTGTTATTACCATAATATGAGCCCGTAAGGTAGACATCATTAACTTGGCGTGATTTAAACGTCCCACATTATTAACCTGGAATGGAAGCTCCGAAGAGACACAGAGCACACAGGTTTTCCACTTTGAAACAAACAAGATCAACAAAAGGCCCCCTGTTTATCAATAAAGGCAAGACATGGATTAGTGGGTTTCCAACCTACAGTAAGTAATGAGAAAATCCCACAATGTGGCAGTGAGGCTGAACAGGGGAAACCTATTAATTTAAATGGGTTCTTCAAAGCTGCATTGTGGAAAAGCATGGACAATCTCAAAGTTACAAGTCCATCTCCAGAGATCTTAATGTTCCTGTGTCCACTGTGCGCAACATTGTCAATAAGTTTAGAGCAGTCCCTACAGTCAAACATGGTGGAGGTCCACTGATGGTTTGGGGTTGCTTTGCTGCTACAGGCACTGGGTGTCTTGACTGTGTGCATGGCATTATGAAATCTAAAGACTACCAAAGATTTCTTGTCAGAAAGTTGGGTCCCTGTCAGAGGTCATGGGTCATACAACAGGACAATGACCCAAAGCACACATCAAAAAGCACCCAGAAATGGTTTCAGACAAACATTTGTAATTGCAACAATTTTCTGCGTGAAGTGGTACATTATCTGACAGAAATGCAGGGGTGCCAATATATTTGGCCATGACTGTATATACATGTATATAATGAAAGGTTGATTTAAGGCATACATCAAGAAGAATTGTTATGTTAGTAAAACAAGCAGTACAATATGGCTTTGCAGAAAAAACCTTTACATACCATGGGTTGTAAGTGGGTGAACAGTTTTTCAGCTGATAGGAGACCCAAAATTAGAGTACGGCATATAAAGAGCAAAACTGTTTTTATTAATAAAATGCTGCTAAATGATTTGGAAATTAATGGATGCATTTAAGATATTTTCTGCTTTGAACTTTTAAACTCTTAAACTCTTACACATAGAAAAGACTATTTTTGCTGACCGATCTTGAAGCCCCATTACAGGCAAAATGTATTTTAGCTTTGTATGGAAGATTTAGAACTTGAAGAAACTTTTTATTGTTGTCCACTTGGGGAGATTTATTCCATGTCTTGTCTATCTGATGGGTGATAGATAATACAGGAACTGTTACAATACACCTGTAGGCAATAAACCCCCAATTGCTGTCTAATTGACGGGTGTCAGACAAGGCAACAAGTGTTGTGTCTTAACATTTGACAGAAACTATCTTCAGTCGGGACATAAACAGCATTTAGAATATGGCAGAAGGGTCATCACTTCCCTGCTCTATCCAAAATGAAAAAACACAGTTTTTCTTTGAATTTGAGCAT